ACAGGACACCTCAAAATCACCCATTGTCATTCTTGCAATAAGAGGATGGGTGGCTCTGGGCAAAGCTCTCAGCAATCCCTGGGGGGAAATAAGACCACGTGGAGGTCATGAAGACACTGCGTGACAGAAGTGCGGGCGCTCAGCAGTTCAAGTGCTCAGCCGCTAAGCCAATTGTCGTTGGTGTGAATCCGACAACGGAGAAAGGTGACCAAGGCAGCTTCCGTCAAGATGACAATTCTACAGGGTCCTACTCTCCCATCCTCCGGTCCTCTCCCACCCTCTCCCCCTGCCTTCCTAGGGCGTGGTGACCCAGGCCAGCTCACCTCTGGGGAGGGCCTCTGGGGGGTGGTCAAACTGACAGGCTGAACAGGGGGTTGCGGGGAACAGAGGCTTGAGTTTTCCACAGTCTGTTCTGAGGAGCAGGGCATGGATTTGCCGACCCACTTTGTGTGCTCCCATGTTGGCATTCTGGGGGACAAGGAAGGAACCCTGCACCCTTTCAAAGACGCAATGCAGGGACTCCGTGTCCTGGCTCTCTTCCTGCGCACAGAGACGCACAGAGACACGCTCTGTCTCTTTGTGCTCAGTGGTAACAGAAGCCCCTGGCATCGGTCCAGTGCTTTAGAAAGACCCCTTGACCTTGACCTCGGGCCGGCCTGTTGCACCCCTGAGGTGAGCAGAGCCCGCTTTCTGAGCCAGCCAGGGGAAGGGAGGTCAGGGGGGTGAGCAGCCGGAGGGGTTGTGACGGAAACGTTCCTCTCCCCAATCCTCCCGTCCTCCTCTCCCCTTGCCCTGTCCTCCTGCCCTCTTCCCTTTCCTCTTGTTCCCTCTCCTCTCCCTGCCTCCCTTCTGTCACTCGCTCAATACTCACACCTTTCCCCGGAGGCCAAGGGCCATCTCTTCTCAGATGGAGGCACTGCAACTCAGGCCAGTGCGGTCCCTGCCTCAAGGTCAGACAGCGAGCCGTGCGTCCTCCTAACCTCGGGGACCCTGCCCTCCCCCGTCCCCCCCATACTGCCTGTGAGGGCGACCTCTCATCTGGGGACGGGCTCTGGTGCAGGGCAGGCACATGTGCAGTGTCTATCGGTCCTGACCGAGCACCACCACCGGCCGGGCACCCCCCACAAAAAAACAAAAACCAAAAAAACAAGGCGCCATGCCCATCAGCTGTGTGCTGATGTTTAGAACGCCGAGTGAAGAAGAGCGCTCGCTGCCATTAACCTGACCGTTCACTCTACATAAGCAAAGGTCGATCTTTCACTTATCTTTGAAAATAAACCCACGGCCTGATGTTCTCATTTTCACATGTAATATCATAATGGCATCTGACCGTGGGAGGGCCAGGATTAAAGGGCTGATCCCAATCTGCTCAGGGGGACTCTTTTTGCCGTTCACGAGCTGAGCCTTGCTGCTGGCTCTGGAGCTTGGACAGGCTGAGATTTAGAACTCACTCTCCTAGCCTGGGAGCGAGCCCCACCGACCAGAACAGCCCAGCCCACCTGGCCCCAGGCACATGAAGGCCACACGGCCTTCCTTGTCATTGTGATTTTAACTCATTTCACATTTTGGGGGTGATGGTGAGGGTCGGGGAGTCAGCGGGTTCTAATCCAGTGTCAGTCTCCCAGGCACAGCACCCTTCCTTTTGCAATGTCATGAAAAAGAGGCAACATCTCAATTTGGGGGCATGGGGAGGGGGAGCATATGTGCATGCGTGCATGCATGCATGGTGGAGAGCATAAACATTCAGGGCAGCCATCAGGGACAAATTGGTATTCACTATGGATAACAGGCAAGCAGGAATAGCCGATATCTACCTTGCTTGCCAGCTAATTCCCCCTGTAACCTCCCTGGTGATGCTGTGGATGGTGCCCTGGGCTGCTCCCTAGCTGCAAGGTCAGGTGTTTGAAGTCACCAGGTGCTGCACGGGAGAAAGAGGAGGCTGTCTACTCCTGCGAAGAGTTAACCGTCTCAGAAACCCACGGGGCAGTTCCACTCTGCCCTATTGGGTCGCAGGGACGGAGCTAACTCAATGGCAGTGAATTTGATGTGAGATTGGCTGCCCTCAGTATCTACAACCAACTTCCGGCTCCAAGGAGCTCACTGTTCCACGCCAACTTCCACCTGAGCAAGGGAACCAATTCGTTTTTCACTGAAAACACCTTGAGAAATGAATTGTTTTACACACAGCCTGCCTCCCTAGGGCTGTTGAATAGAGTTGGGGGAGGAAGCACGTGTAGTGGGGAGATAGTGCGAGAAAATTCCTTCCTGTTTCTGGAAGATTTACTGAATGTGGAGCCACGTACACAGTGCTGAGCACGAAGCTGGGCACAGACAAGGCACTCAAAGCTCAGCCTTTTGCACAGCACGGTCGCTTTTAGGCTCGCTTCCGTGATGGTTACGGTGGTGACTGCACTGCCTCCTGGGGGTGCCTACTTCTGCGTATGGGAGCAAAGAAGATGGAGGGAGATGGCCCCAGCCCTCAAGTCTGATGCTCATTCATCAAGCTGGTGGACAGAGCTAGTCTCTCGCCTCTGCTGCCCACAGCCTGGGCCCCCAACGACTTGCCTCATGGACCCCCACCCTCTACTCTCCAACGTCCTTGCCGCCCCAAGAATTCCCCTCATGTCAGTGCTGTCCAACAGAACCATCCCAGAGGGCGGGAACATGCTACAGACCTGCACTGCCACAGCAGCAGCCACGGATCACCCGTGGCTAGTGAGCACTTGAAATGAAGCTGGTGCAACTGAAGAACTGAGTTGGAGATTTTATTGGATTTTGATGAATTAAAACGTACATGGACACGTGACTGGTGACAATACAACAGATCTAGCATGCACTTGGCCCCACTTCTTATCTGAATCCCTGGTCGTCCACAAGGCCACTCAGGGCCCATTTTTGCCATGAGACCCAGTCGGTGGGACTCATTCTCTTCCTCCTCAGAAGCCTCACGTGCTTAAACCCTTGATGTTCTAAATATGTTTGCTGTAGAATGAACTCGTTAAGTTTACCACTTACCCCTTTTTGTATTTAGGTCATTGATATTTTTATGTTATCTTCACTATACCTGCACCCTCAGACCTGTGGAGCTCCTGAGTGGTGCAAATGCTCAGCTGCTGACTGAAGTCGGTGGCTCAAACGCCCCCAGAGGCACATCAGAAGAGAGGCGTGGCAGTCCGCCTCTGAAACATCACAGCCACGGAAAACGCTCTGTGACATGGTTCTACTCTGAAATGCAGGGGGGGGGCATGAGGAGCTCAAATTACCTGGATGACTACTAGTTAAACCAGCGATTCTCAACCTGTTGCGACCCCTTTGGGGGTTGAATGACCCTTTCATAGGGTTGCCTGATTCATAACAGTAGCAAAATTACAGTTATGACGTAGCGATGAAAATAATTTTATGGTTGGGGGTCACCACAACATGAGGAACTGTATTAAAGGGTCACAGCACGAGAAAGGTCGTGAACCACCGAGTTAAACATTCAGAGGTCTGATCATCTTTTTTTCTTAATTTAGGAGCTTTGGTGGTGTAGTGGTTACACGTTGGGCTGCTAACCTCAAGGTCAGCAGTTCAAAACCACCATCCGCTGTGAAGGAGAAAGATGAGGTTTTCTCCTCCTGGAAAGAGTCATGGTCTCAGAAAGGCACGGGGACAATTTCACCCTGTCCTATAGGCTCGCTGGGAACCGGCATCAGCTCGATGGCAGTGCGTCTCTGAGAGAGAGAGAGACGGATACAAGGAGCTCTGAATCACTGCCGGGAAAGCAGCAGACTGCTGAACGCAAGCTGGCAGCTCAAACCCACCAGCACTCTGAGATTGACACCTCAGACACCCACAGGGCCAGTGCTACTGTGTCCCACAGGGGCACAAGGAGTCAGAATCTACTCGGTGACAGTGGGCCTACTTAGTAAAGCTCCCCCACAGGGATGACTTCAAAGTTTTATTTCATGTATTACAGCAGCACTGTGATTAGCATTAAGAATACAGATTTGACAAAGATTGCCGGAGGTAATTTATGCCACAATATTGCAGGCACTAGCCCAGCTGAGAATTCAGGTCACTGAATCCCAGTCCTGGTCACAGGGCCTCCGGACTAGTGGCCCGGGAGTCATATTCCTAGCAGACCAGGGGAGTCTATTCCTCAACTTGGATAATGGACTGGTGAAGCATGGGCCTGGGCCCAGGATCACATGAGAGGCACTACTCATGCCTGTGAGAACACAGGAAACGGGTCGGGGGCTCACCCAGGAGAAGGAGCCAAGAAGCTGGGGAGAGAAAAAAGCAGAACTTCCCGAGGGGAACATTCTCCCCACCCCCCCACCCCACCCCTCCCGGGCAGCCTTCAGATTCCAAGTGATGGGCTTTAAAGAAAGGGCCCCCTTCTCGAAAGGCATTTCCTTTATATCATCTAAAATTCTACCAACGGAGCATCCTTGAAGTTAACCAACAGACATCGATGACAGAGTTCAAGGCAATAGCTTAGGGTAGATTGAACAAATCAGACTGTTGCCACTGAACCTGCCTGCGCTAGAGGAAAGGGTGGCTTACCTGTGGGAACAAGGCAGAGATCATTCTACAGCGTGGGCATGATGGGTAGAGTGGATTGGGTGTCTGGGTGTGGGGAGGTACCCTGGTCACTGGGGAAGGAGAAGAGTCTAGGGTGGCACTGGAAACGCATTGCCACAGCAGGCCAATGCGCCCTGCATCCTCATGGCCATGGGTTGCTGTGGTCAATTCTCAAGTCTCCAAGCTTCTGCCCAGCCCTGGACTCATCCTACGTGGAGAATCCAGCGAGGAACACTGAGTTTGCTCCACAACGGCCTCATAGCCAAAGTTCACTGCCATCAAGGTGATTCCAACTCCCCACGTCGCTGCCAACCATAGCGACCCTATAGCACAGAGTAGAACCGTCTCTGTGGGTTTCTGAGACTGGGACTCTTTGCAGGAGTAGACAGCCTCAACCTTCTCCAGCAGAGCCACTGCTGGTTTCAAACTGTTGACCTTGCAGGTAACCGCCCAACATGTAACCACCGCACCACCAGGGCTCCCAAGTCCTAGCTGCCCTACCTAGTGTCTCTGGGGCTGTGAATCGATGTGTTTCTCCCTCTGAGCACTCCCTAGTGGGTTTGAAGGGCTGACCTTGTGGTCAGCAGTCCAGTGCTTATACAAGGGCCTTGTAAACCTATTGCTAACAAATCAATTCTGCCTCATAGCAACCCTGTGGGACAGAGTAGAACTGCTCCCTGGGGTCCCCGAAGCAGTAAATCTTTACAGGAGGTGATAGCTGGCTGGTGGGTTTAGAGTGCATGTAGCAGTCTAACATATAACATTATGCCATAAGGGAGTTTTAAGACCCTTATTCAAAACCAAAAAAAACCTCACTGACATTTAGTTGATTTCAACTCATAGTGACCGTATATGGGGTTTCCCAGGCTGTAAATATTTGTGGAAGCAGACAGCCTCAACTTCTTCCACTCAAGAGCGGGTGGTTTTTGAACCCCAGACCTTACAGGGCTTTTATGGGGCCAGTGCTTGTCTAGGCAGTGAAAGCACCAGCAAACAGAACAGACCTCGGAGGGGCCAATGGGTGCTGAGCGAGGGGGACAGGCAGAAGCACTGGACTGCGTCCCACATGTGGACTGAACACCAGCTTACAGAGGTTCTCTCAGAAGAGAGACAGGACCTGGCGCAGCATGGGTGCTCAATATTCACTCAGTGATGGAGTAGGTGAATGAATGGTGTCTGATCATGCAAAATCAAACAGGTCAGATAATTATCTAATTTCTAATTATCTAATTATCTCTATCTAATTTCTGTGCTTTTGCCCTTTCTAGGTAGGTACTTAGTCCAGCTGTGTTGGATCACAATTTTTAAAAAATTCCTCCTTTGGATCTCATTTCTGGTCTCCTACTCAGAATGCCTGAGTTTACCCTTCATTTCCCCTTTCTCTCCACAGCTGAATCCTCGGTCTGTAAAGGTGCTGGTAACTGGGGAAGCTTGTGAGCGGGGTCGGTTTGAATGGGAAGGGATCTCTCATAAGTCAGTTCACACATAAGAACCGAAGAAGACGGGCTCAGAGAGGCATGGGGTGCAGCACAGGACACAGCACGCACAAAAAGCAAACCCCTGCACAGGGTGGTCTGGGAGCTGCCATGCTGTCTAGTGAGGGGAGCACGTTCCGAAGGTCCATGGCCGGCCATACCTCCCAGTTTTCCACACCCACTCCCAAGCAGAGCCTTGGAGTCCCTAGGAAAACACTGACCAATAAATCAGATTGAAAAGTATGTAGGCAGCAGGGAAGATCAACCGAGAGTATTTGTCGATGGCGTGAGTGTTCTGGAAGATGCGAAGACCCAGCTGGCCCTTCAGCAGCCCCCTCTTCCTGGGGGAGGTGGAGTCATTGCCCAGGGCCAGGTGGACCACTGTCCTGTCGTGCCTTTCTTCTGTCACTATGTGGCTTCTGGTGTATCCAGCCAGGCTGTTGACCTCAGACTCGCTGTAGCTCCCGTCCAGCATCATGGTTCTCGAGGGAAGCATCCCACACGTGCATGGGCACTGCAGCAGCAAACACAAGGAGAGGCGTCAGGCACGGGCACGGGAAAAGGAGGTGGTCTAGTCGGAGAGCCAAACCCTGTTGCTCTCAGAACCACAGAATGACAGGACCAGAAGGCTCTCCAGAGATGACTTAGACGCAGTGGTTCCCAACCTTCCTAGTGCCGCGATCCAGTCCCTCGTGTGTTGGTGATCCCTCCAACCATAAAATTATTTTCATTGCTACTTCATAACTCTCATTTTGCTACTGTTATGAATTGGGTGACCCCTGGGAAAGGGTCGTTCGACCCCCAAAGGTCGTTCAA